CACATATTCTTTGACTCTTGCTGAAACTCAGGAGCTAGTGTGGTGTTGTAAGAAGAACAAAACCTTTGGAGGCACTCACTAGTTTTTGTTACTTAAACAATGTGTGCTCCTCCCACCTTACAGAGTTGTTATAAGAATCAAACAAGAATATGTGTAAAGAAGTTGGAATAGTGTCCTGCATATAGGAGACATTCAGTATATGGTAGCTGTTGTGCCTTCAAGATTTACACATGAATTCATGTTACCTTAATCCAAATCACTGCTAGGAAATCCAGTTGCATAAATTTGTGTTCAAGTAGGCTGAGTGAGAGAAACTGGCAGTCCTAAATAGCATCCTAAGTAGCCACTTACATATTATTTTGTGTATGTGTGGATCACTTATAAAATTGAAATAGTAAGAGAATCTATAAGGATTGCTAGCTCATAATAATGTGCAGGTGCTTATAGACTTGTTCATATTCTGAGTCCTTGGACTCTCCTGTCAGGTAGCACAGGTCAGAGCAACCCATTACATCTGTTTTCATATTTCAAAGTCAGATGGTGCACCTATAATGTTATAACCATCTTTATTTGTTATATTCCCAGCAGTCTATGGCTGAGGAAAACATGATTAGCACTACTTTCCAGAAAGAGAATTGAATTATGGCACATGAGAAGGTTTGCAGGGAGTAGATTCAGGAAAGGAAAACCGAGATGCCCAGAAAGATAAATAGAAAAAGCCTTCTGAACTCTAATCACAGGACTGAGTGTGACTAAAGGAACGACAAAACCAGTGGGGTGCTAAAGTACTCATCAGGATTAAAAAAAATATGGTGAAAGTAAACATAGCGAAGCTGCAGGAAGAAAATCAGAAGCAAACAAACGTAAGCGCATTCTGACCTTCCTGCACCCACTGGATACTGATTCCGAGAGATCATACATTTCTGGAGGGGTAGGTACATGTCTGGAGGTTTTCCTCATGTAGCACTACCATGCATAGTCAGACTGTAACAAGTCATGTGCTTTGTCACAGGACCACCAGAGAACGTAGCTCCAGGACCCGAAAAATACTCAGAGGAAAAACCAGGGAGTTGGGGTGGATTGTCTGTTTTCCTTCAAACTTTTAAACTTGGCACTTAGCATATCAAGAGTGGTAAGAGCTATTGAGCCAATATTTGCTGAATGAGTAAATAAGCAAATTTATGAATCACGACATATCAAAAATATGAACAACGTAGCGCTGCATGAAAAAAGACAACACTAGCTATTTTGTGTTGTGATGATGAGCACCTTGTTCCGCTCTTCCAAGATAATGCAGATATTCATAGTCTCATTTCACGATACTTTTGTAAGCTTTTGAGGTGAGGCTGTGGTAGGTATTTTAACTACGGGAAAAGGTAATCACGAGCTTAATGGCATAAATGCCACTAAGAGATCTGAGAGTGGGCATGGTGTAGCGTTGTCAAGGTTGAACTGTTTCCTGCTGCACTTCCCCATGGTCCTTCCGCTTCTGAATCTCAGCACAGCCTTAACCTAATAAGAATCCAGAGGACGGCTGACAGTCTTGGAACAAAGTGTTGAAAGAGTTTAATGAGTAATCCATCAAGATGGCCCTCCAATAATGACACACCAGATGGCTCCACAACATTACGCTTCTCGGCAAAATAATCACTAATTAATCTTGTACTTGTGTTATTTGCGTCACCCACACAGCTAAATAAAGTTCAACAACAAACCTACCATAAAATTCCAGTTTATTTTTCTTTTGGATAGTCAAGCCGTGAACAAACTGAGAGATAAAAATCCATCTCCAAACCACAGTTACGATGGGAACAGCCTAGTGCAGCTTTGTTAAGCCTGATCTATTCATTGCATTACTACACTCCAAACCCTGACTCAACAGAATTGTCAAAATTCTTTAAAAGCAAAGAGAATTCTGCATAACATAATTTACTTTTGAATCACAAGTACTTGAGAAAGTTAATAGGATGAAAAGCATATTATAAAATAGGCTTGTGTTGTTCAGTGCTAGATTTCTGTACATAGAAACATACATAGATTTCTATACTTACAACATATTTTCAAAACTCAGTAATATTTTCCTTATCCAGAGTCCCAACCCCTGGAAGTCCCAGCTCCTCCCAAATGTAGTCCATAATTGTGAAGTGATAGAAAAATGTCTCTGAATCAAGCAAATAATAATAAAATAATCTTGCTAAATTATGTTTTTATTTCTATCATATATTATTTATTTTTATTTTCTGTGTAATACTTAAGAATGGTATTGTTTCAGCAGCAGCACACAGCGTACTTGAGGTAGTAAATGTGATTAGTATGTGGGGAGAAATATTTTGGAAGGAAATCCACTCAAAATAGAAAAAAAGGACAGCTGATGATATGATATTAGGGAGGAAAAAAGCTAAAAAGCAGACAGAGGTTAGTTGCTAAATTATAAAATAACAGGCCTTCATCAAGCTGATTCTGAGTCATAAAGATTTTGTTGAACTTCTTACTCTCTGTGTAAGGAGACGGGGAAGTGGTCATTTTAGAAACACTTCAAAATATTATAATTTTTTTAGAGTTGGCATTTCAAAAGGTGAAGTTAGTCATGTGGAAAAATCAAATAGGTAGCACATTTTATTCTCTCACAAGGTCAAATAAAAGTGAACTATTACTATATTTAGGAATTTGTGAGGTAAGTCCACATTCTCAATAGTTCTATGGTTACTGAAAGAAGTAGGTATTTGAGATTTCATTGATCTTTTTTAAAAGCATCATTTCCACATAGAAAAATCTTGTGCTGCTTGCTTTTTAACAATCATAATCAGGAAGTAGAAGTGGATAATATGGTGATATAGAATAGATAAGACAAAATAGATTCTGTTTGGAAGAAATAAAAACAGAGGCATAGTTTAGATCAACCGTGAGGAATGCACTAGGTAATTAAGTACATAATATTCCCAAATAAAGGAGCAGAGTACAGAGGCGAAGCA